GGGGAAAACCTTTCTACTCTTTAGTTTATTATTTTGGTGAGACTTACTTTAGATTAGGTTCCATGATTGAGTTCTCTCTCTCTGTCTTTTTTGTTCATTTTTAGAAATTTACTTTGCCACCTGAGTCCATAAAATCTTTGTAATGTCTCCTATGTATTGTTATTTATGATTATTGAATTATTTCCTCTCTCTCTCTCTGTTAGGGGTGAGGCACTTAATATTACTGAAATCACGATTAAGTAAATCAACAAATAAGTGATCATATTTTTCCGCAATGTTAAGTACAAATTTATATAAAATTAATAAGTATTATTATGGGGAGGATTAATATGTACCAATATAAAAATAATTAATAAGTCTTATAATGAATTTTAATTGTTAATCTTATTTGCACTTAATCATTCAGGTAAATAATAAAATTAAATTAAAAATATAAATAAATAATTACAAAAAAATAAATATTTGTTGGGTCAGCAAGGGAGCTCATGGCGAGGAGAGATTGTCATCCATGGATTAAGTGAGCAATGACATTAAGTGTGTTTAGTCGTTTAGACACTACATTCAAATCTAAAATATTAAGACATTAAATGCATGGGTCCTTCCACTTATATGGTGCTCATCCAGTTTATTTTTAACCAATGTAGAACTTCAATCACTCCCACTTAAATTTCTCAACAATATTAATATGAAAATATAAACAGCTGATATTTAAAAAGATAAGAACAATTTAACAGCAAAAAATTGTTTAAAAAATAAACAAGTGCAAATAAAAATAAAATGTAATAACCGAAGTACGCTGTAGGGTCTTGCAATATAATAAGAGATTATCGAGAACAGCGACCCATTTGTCACAAATCCAAAAAATAATTGACTACATGCTATGCGAATAGTAAAAAATTTCAAATTGTCACGCGTGCAAATTCGCTACAAACGTGGCACGTTTATGGTGGGCACCTAATTCGCTACTGGTAGTAGCGAATTATATTGAAATTTTGTCAGTCTGCTCTGAGCAAAAGTAAGACATGTGGCAACCACTGAGGAATTCGCTACACGTCATAGCGAACTAAGTCCAAAGGTCAGGGGAAAAAATAGTCATTGGGCCATGTGTCAGACATGGACAAATTCGCTGCACAATATAGTGAACTAGGTCCAACGGCTACGTACATACCAAGTGGGTGCCTATATAACCCCATCCCCTCAAACTCCACACACACACTCTCTCTAATTACATATTTTGCCTCTCTCTCTCTACAATTTCATACTTCTTCTCTCTCAATACCTAATGGTCTTCATTTTATCTTTCACAAGGTTAATGTTTTATATTCTGTTATTTATGCATTATTAGTGGGTGTTAGTTTTTTTATATTATTTATTTTAAGAATTGAAACCTTAGTTTAGAAGATATGTTTTTTTTTTTTGAATCATAGGATAGAACCAAAGTGTTAATGTTGTCACATTCCTTTGTATTTACATTAATATGTAGAATAGTTGATGTGTTATTTTATATTTTAAAATTAAATTTATAAATATTGTTTTAGTATGTTTTATATTTTTTATTTTAATAATATTTATTTTAGGACTTGACACTTTAAGTTATAGATATTTTTAAAAAAAAAAATTCCAAAATAGATCCCATGTGTTAGTGTTATTTATTTTAGGTCTCGAAACCTACGGTTAGAGGATATGTTATTGCTACTGTTTAGGTTAATAATTATAAATAAAAATATTAATATTATTTAATTATTCTTCTAAATAGATCCATGGAGCATAATGAACCCTCACGTCCTAGGTCTCCGGGGAGTGTTATTGACCCAAGTTCGTCCAACCATTCTCTCCTGACATTACAAGAGAAACATATATTCACTTATGCCTGGAATATCTCCGAGGATTGCAACTTCCAGGATCGTGTGATTAATATTAGACACGTTGTCACACATGATCATGAGCATATACCTGAGGAGATCCATCTGTTTCTAATGTAGGGTGGTTTCTATCACGTTGCGTGCCTGTGCAACCATAAGGTTAGTATACTCTTATTGTATAACCTAGTATTATAGTGTTATGATTGTAATATTTTGATGATATCATACTGTTTTTTATTTCAGATCGACCATGCGCTTGTGTCGACACTTGTCCGGCGATGGCGCCCAGACACATGTACATTTCATATGACGATTGGTGAGATTGCCATCACCCTGGAGGATGTACACATCTATTGGGTTTCCCATGGATGGTGAGGTTATCTCGGGCCATGCTGGATAGCATCCATTTCGACAGATGATTTCTGACTTCTTAGGAGTTGAGCCACAGAACCGTCGATATTTCCATGGAGGCTTGTTGGGCCTCCACTATCTGCCGGAGCAGTTTGATGATTATAGGGTCCACACTGGCAATGTTATTGGCTGTATCAGATACACTCGCGCATTAATCTTGTGTATCTTATGGAGGATGTTGTTTGTGAACACCGCCTCCAGCTTTGTGCCCACCAGATATTTATTAATTATGGACGATTTTGAGCTGACGAGTACTTTAAATTAGGGTTCCGCAGTTCTTGCATCCTTATACGATGGACGCCATATTATGATTTCCCTGCATTCCTCGGTATTTCCATATAAGTGGGTACCATCGATCTGGATAACTAACTTGCAATAATCAAAAGCATCACAACATGGTTTAAATGTCCAAAACACCCTATGAAACACCTTGTGAGATCGATCGAGGCGTCCAACATCAAAATGATCATTTAGATCCAGCTTATAAACAGACCCTGGAGAAAATAGCAACATTTAGTCCAACCATCTTGGGAGGAACGCGTAAGACTTATTCCAATCCCCAAAAAATTTTACAATTGTCTTTTGCTTTGCCTTCCTGTAAGATATATGAAATCCAAGATTTGTTGCTATCTTTTCCTATATTAGAGCAATTTTAACACTGGGTTCCTCCCTTATCATTTTTGAATTTGGTCAAACAATAATGTATTAATAATCATTCCGAAAATATTAATAAAAAGAAAAATTATTTGACATACATATGATCAATGAACAAATGAGAATTAAGTCTAGCTACTTCTAATCTTGAGAAAGACTTTGACTAACACATGTGTGTTTGTTATTCCATTTGCAAATAACTCATTCAATGTTGCCTTTTTTTACGGATGCCCTCATCCTCCATGGACAACTGTCATTGTGATTTTCACAAACCATGATCAACCTTTTGGTATCACTCTTTTCTACAATGGTTGTGCGATGGTTCGCCATACAAAATTATTTTATTTTCATATGTACATCTTGCTTGCTCTCAACACCTGGTTCTTATATAACTCTAGACCCATCTGCTAATTAGGTATATGCGCTCCCTCCATTTCGTCCAACTCCTAATTTGGGTGTGTCCAATTAATATTCGTGTAATGGCTTATCTGAGACAAAAAAGGTACACTATCATCTCTTGTTTAATCACACATGCGTTCGTTATTCTCAAATGTGTCAATAACAAGTATGTTAAAAAAAAATTTAAACCATTACAATTACCAACCTATAATTGGCGGGTCATGCATTCCGACAAGCCCGGTGAAGGAATTGGATGAAACACTGCGCAAGACAGACAATAATCGAAATCACCATTGACGTCCGTATCCGATGAGTCACTGTCCGAAACAAGACCTTTGTCCACCACTTTCTCGGAACTGTACGTACGCCAAGCCGGGTTGTACATGTCATGGGCCGAAAGCATTTCTGAAGACATTGGTGGAGGGTGGGGATAACACATACCTATCTTTCGAATTGACCAGCGACTCCCTGTTAATGTTGATAGAGTGAATGGATAAGAGGGAATGTTGAGTGCTTGATTGTCCACCAGAGTTTACTTCCGCATACAGTTCAATAAATGTGGAGTCTTCATGATCTCAAAATGTGTCAACTATTAACGCTACATCTTCATCCTCAAAAATCTCCACAGTAACCCACTGTTGCGGATGGGCATCTAGTAGTCAATCGAGAGAGAGATTGACCCATTGTAATCTCAACTTCTTGTATATTATCTTCTTCAGTTCATTATAATTGCATCGGGGGCTTATGCGAAATATTTCTCTATCTCCTTCAAAAACTTGATCATTCGATCCAAAATATCTCCTCCCATTATAATATACAATGGTGATTAAATAATTGCTACTCTCACTCATTATGTAAAAATGAAAATAAAAAAAAATAGAAGGAAGAAATAACCGGGGCACCAAAACAAAAACACAGGTGAGAATGAAAATGAAGAAATGGAGCGTAGTGCATGCAAGGGAGGGAAATGGGGTTGGGTATAAATAATAGTAAATTTGCTAGACCTGATAGCAAATTTACCATATGTCAGACAAATAAATTTGTTGTGCCCCATAGCAAACTTGTCCTTGGTTGCCAAGTGTTACTTTTGGTCAGAGCAGGGTACCTAATTCGCTATGCCCCGTAGGGAATTAGTCATTGGCTACCACGTGTCCTGCTTTTGCTAAGAGCAAACTGACATGTCACACCTAGTTCGCTATGACATGTAGCGAATTTCTCAATGGTTGCCATGTGTCCTGCTTTTGCTCAGATGAAATTTTGATCGCCTAGTTCGTATTAGCGAATTATGTGGCCACGGAAACATGCCATTTTTGCAAATGAGTTCGCTATCTTTGTAGCAAATTTGCACGCGTGGCACTTTGGAAAATTTTATTATTCGCCCAATATTTGGACAGTTTTTTTTTTTTTTGAATTTGTGATAAATGGGTCAGTGTTCCAATTCAGACTAGTATGACTCATCATCAGTCATCACGCACTAAAAATCTTTCACCAACAACCGTTTCTTTTATTGGCAGGGAAAAAGACTGGTACCACCAATCCGTTCCTCCTTAAAAAAAATACAACTCCCTCCCTCAGGATCACGAAACTCGTGCACTCAACCAATCCCAGTCACCAAGGTAAAGAAGTCTTAAGCAGAGCACGCAACAATCTCCCCAAAACATTAGCTTAGAAAAAATGTCAGCAACATCTAAATTACGAGAGAATCTAAGCTTGAACGGTAAAACTATGGAACTGTCTCTACCTCCTCCGCCATTACAACCTCAAAAATGCTCTGCCAATATGGTGGAGATGGTGCTATCAGAGTTAAGAGTTCAACGACGAATAGTCCTTCCAATGGTGGCCATGAACTTGGCTTGGTTTGCCAAGACAGCCATCACAACAGCTTTTTTGGGGCGCCTGGGGGAGCTCAGCTTAGCCGGTGGTGCGCTTGGGTTCACTTTTGCTAATGTCACCGGTTTCTCTGTCTTGAATGGTCTATGCGGTGCCATGGAACCCATCTGTGGACAGGCTCATGGGGCTAAAAACCTTAGGCTCCTTCATAAGACCCTTCTCATGACAATTTTATTGCTACTATTGGCAACACTTCCTATTACTTTCTTGTGGCTTCATGTTGACAAAATTTTGATTTATTTTGGCCAACAACAAGACATCTCCGCTGTGGCCAGGACTTATGTTTCCTATCTCATACCCGACTTGTTTATCACCTCACTCTTCTGTCCCTTAAAAGCTTATTTGAACTCTCAAAGCATAACTCTTCCCACCATGTTTAGTTCGGCTATAGCACTGGCTTTCCACATACCCGTTAACATAGTATTGTCAAAGACCATGGGCCTCAAAGGAGTTTCCATGTCGGTTTGGATAACTGATCTTATTGTTGTGGTTCTGCTTGCCATTTATGTTGTAATTCTCGAGAATAGAAAGGCAAACATGTGGAAGGAAGGAGGATGGTGGGATCAGAGCATTATAGAATGGATTAGGCTTATCAAGCTTTGTGGATCATGCTGCCTCAATACATGCCTGGAGTGGTGGTGCTATGAGATTCTAGTCTTGCTTACTGGCCACCTCGCAAACGCCAAGCAAGCAGTGGGAATTTTTGCCATTGTGCTCAACTTCGACTATTTGCTTTTCTCAGTGATGCTATCGCTAGCCACTTGTGTTTCCACTCGTGTCTCAAATGAGCTTGGCGCCAACCAAGCTGGCCAAGCTTACAGATCAGCGCGCGTGTCTCTAGCATTGGGCTTTATCGCAGGTTGCATAGGTAGCTTGGTGATGGTGGCTGCCAGGGGAATTTGGGGGCCCCTCTTCAGCCATGACAGGGGAATTATAAAGGGAGTAAAGAAGACAATGTTGGTGATGGCTCTGGTGGAAGTGTTTAATTTTCCATTGGCAGTTTCTGGAGGCATAGTTCGAGGCACAGCTAGACCCTGGTTGGGCATGTATGCTAATATAGCTGGATTTTATTTCCTGGCCCTGCCACTGGGTGCAGTTTTTGCCTTCAAGCTCCGTCTTGGGCTTGTTGGACTCTTCATTGGACTTATTACTGGTATTGTTACCTGCTTGACCCTCTTGTTGGTGTTTATTGCGAGGATAAACTGGATGGAAGAGGCTGCCAAGGCTCAAACACTAGCCAGCAGCAACGAGCAGGTACAGGAAGTCCCCAAATATGAAGCAGAAGAACGAATTGAGTCCCAAGAAAATAATCAAGCATAGAAAGTGTGATCAATATCTATCTATATTCTTACATATCTCCAAACACTTGGCCAGGACGAATTAAACACGGCTCGACCATGTGGACAATCTCAAGACAAGGAGGTCATAATGCGCAACGGCTGAATTGTTTTGTTAACCCCATTCGGAGTGTTTGCTAAAAGATTCTTGCTGAAAATCTGTAAAAAGCAACCCAATTGGTTCTTTGTCATTGTAGATCACTACCTAATGCTTTTGCTTTTTGCCTGTTCATTTCTTTCTTTCTTCCTTTTCTTTTTTATTTCTGCTTTTTGCTTTTTTTTCTGTTTATTTCTTCTTCTTTTGGTTTGTGGCCTGTGGGTTAAGGGAGTGGAATTCACATTAGAAAATAAGATTTCTGCACTCGAAATCAATAGGCAGAACATAATAGCCTGTTGATCTATCTATTGTACAACAATTGCATCAATGACCAATACGCACTCAAGAAAAACTCTTGCCCATACATCTTAAAGCAAACATCAATCATCGGTAACCCGAGGTTTAGAAATTGAGGACTCTAGCTCTTTAGCCTTCTCATCATTAAAGCCAAGGGTGGACAGTATCTTGTGACCAGGGGAATCCACTTCAGACCAAATGCCAAGAAGTATGTGTGCTGTGGTAATTTCCCCACCATCAACTGCAAGTCACAGATGGATTCATAAAAAAACATTAATTTCTTGGCCTAGAGCATAGAACATTTGACAAAAATCATCATTTCCAGAAAGAAAGAAAAAATGATGATGATGCACCACACTCCATTCACCAATTAAGTGAATGAGAAAATACTGCGTGGAAGTTTTAGGAAAATGTATAAATTAGCAGTATCTACCCCAAAGTGGCATTTATAATTATATTGAGAAAAATTCTCTCCCCAAAACAACAATCAGTCACCACATGCCTACCAAGCACACTCTTCTTTATATAATAAATAATAATAATAAAAAGGAGATTATAAAGGGCCATTATCGCAATAAATCATTCTAAGAAACAAAAAACATCTAATAGGTAACAGGAAACATAATGCAGAAAAATGTCAGCTCTTTAGAAAACTACAAATGGTTTTCTTGTTTGGCTATAGAACCAAAATGCCTTCAACTCTACGTTAAAAGCCCAATAAAAGCACTTCAAACTCTATCAGACAACTTTAAATAAATCCTCACCTTAATTTAAGATACTTGTTCTCTTCCTAATTGCCTCATGGCTTTTTCTTGGAATTCATAGTTTAGGTTTTATCATATGACATGATTTCCGAAAGAAGAATTGAATCTTATTTATTATTACAATTTGAATGAAAGTCATAAACTAACTAAACCACCATCAACCTGAAGGTAGGAACATTAGACAAATAGTTTCGCTACAAGAAAAGCCTAAGGACCAAATGACTAGCTGTCATTAGCACACCTGATTAATACAAATACTCATAAACCACAAATTATGCAATCTGAAATAAGTAATTAGAATAATGGCCAATAAAAAGCCACTGACCCAGGGATTTAAATAAAATAATACCTCTCATTCTCATCTTTAACCACATGTATTTTATTTCGAAGGATTACATCCAAACATGTAAATTTCCATACAATTAATGCTATCCATATAGAATTCATTACAAAATAATGCTTCTTGGCATAAGCCCAAATGCAAAACATTTCAATGCATAGGTCCTACAAATTTTGGCTCCATGTATAGTAACCATTGCTGGTTGTTTAGTTTAAGGTGAATCCTAAATAACTCATCATTCTATATAAAAATTCTGTCAAATTTCCTGTGTTTACACGCTATTCAAAAACATTGGAGAGAGAAAGAGACAGAGTCACAGAAAAAATCAAAGATAATTTCAATCACTAGCAAAAGAATTAAGTAATGCATGAAGTCATTTAGGCTTTGCAAGCAGCTCTCCACTCTTCTACGATTGGTAATAAAAAACTACAACAGTAAATGAGGAGATTGACAATAACCAACCAGATTTCATTTTTTGATCAATAGCCCAATCAAGGGCCCTCTGCGCTTCTTCAGTCAGCGGAGGATGCTCGGGGCTGAAGAAAAACATATCAGCTTTTCCAAGTAACTTGACAGTTTCATCTCGCACCTCAAAAAGTGTAATTCCATTGGCTCGCAAAAACTTAGCAGCTAGATTAGTACCTATAGCCCAAAGATAGATTAGGCACAATGCTTAAAACTTATATATCTAAAACTTTCACCGGAAAGAAATGCGGTAAGAACACAGGGTACATTTGTAATCAAAAGCCTCCCAAACATAATAAAGACATAATTTTGCACCTTAAAGTAATTTATTTTATTTTATTTTTTAAAATGTAGCTTCTAAGTTGCATTAAATTTTCCATTTTTTCCCTCCTGGAATTATTTGTAAGGAGAGATAATCAACTTTATACATGAGTTCTAGTCAAATGGCTGAAAATGCAGAAAGTGAAGTTAAATGGGAAAACGCGGAAAATATAAGCGCATGAGATTAAATGGCTGAATTTTAAGAATCAACAGAAAAGTAAACGATAGAAGTACATCTAGTTTATATAATAGTCTATGGAACCAGAGGACTATGCATAAAGACTCAACGGGAAGGTAAAATCAAGGACTGTCCCAATTGAGCTTAAGTTCCCATTTATGATGGTCCACCATTAAACTATACGAAATAACAATGGACAAAATGGATTACCCTCGATAAGAACCCCCATGAGAAGGGCTTCAGTGCCAGTTGTTGGATACTTAAGTTTTCTTGCCTCACATTCAGCCATCGCAAATGATTTTATAGCCTTGGAAGACCATCTTGCTTTCATCAAATACAATTAGCAAAGAAGCAATGACAATGGAATGAGAAAAGGAAGTAGATGCAAATACATTTCGGCGATACTCACCTGGGAAATTCCTTTTCGGGAGAAACTCGCACTGGCTTTCTGCGAATATGAAATCACAATAAATCTGAAACCCTAAATGGGACAAGTCAATTTCTAATTGAGAATAAAAAAAACTTACGCGGTGGGGAGACTGAAGGAGACGGTGGCAGCGAAGGGGCGGCGCGTGCAAACTGACACATGAGATCTCAGACTGAGACTGCAAGGCTGAACCCAAATTTTGGTCCCTAGCCATGAATTCTGAGGGCTCTTTAGCATCAAATTTTGACCCAAACAAACGGAAGGTTCGCACCGAAATATCAGATTCGAGGAGAAATGATAGTTCATAGCAGCCATTTCCACGACAATTTCCGAGACTTCGGATATGGAACGTATTAAGCAGAAGAAACATACGATGTCGTATTACTCGTGTGTTTTTTCGGGTCATATGGGAAATGGGTTCAATGAGAATTGGGCTTAGAGCCTCCAAAACTTCTGGTATCTGCTGGGCCGGAAAGTTTTTAAGCCCTCCTGTTTCCTTCGGTTGTCCCTTTGGAATAAATAGCAATTGCCAAAGGTAAAAAGGAACAATGCATCACTTTGCGGCTTGAAAGCAAAGGAAGCACAAAGGAGAACCAATTGTATGTTGGAAAAAAAGTAGTCAATTATCCAAATTGGATCCTAAGTTCACTTTCCAAGCAAGCAATAAAAACTCGATGATCAGTCCAACGTATCCACTTTTGTGGACGTGAAGCCTGAATAGCCCACGAAGGAGATAGCTAGCACCAAATTAATGTCATCGTATTGTCATTGTGGCTTCCCACTGTCTCTATTTCTTTGTTTGGGTCATTTATTCAGAATTCGAGTTCGATATCTTAAGTTAAAATAAATTAACTTCTTATTACTTAAACAATGATGACAACTTATTGCATATGTTACCTCGTGACATTAAAAATAAATTATTACATATATTTGTTGCTCCTTTTTCTCAGAGTATATTTTAGGCGGGCGAATAATCTCTTCATGTCAGACGCTAAAAACGAAGATTTCCAGCATGTTGTTTTTATAATACACAACAATTTATGGGTCGAACATAAGTGCTTGTTTGGATCCTCTCTTTTTTAAGCTAGAAGTTACTTATAAGCATAAGTTAGGCCAAACAGATTTTGGGAAAAGTTCTTATAACGAAAAGTTCTTTTTTTTTTTCTTTACCAAAAAAAAAAAAATCTCTTTTTTTTTAATGAAGAAAAAAATTGCAAACTAAAAGCTCCTATGAGGAGCTTTTTTTTAAGCTCTTGTCTTTTTTTCTTGAATTGTGTGCTTTTTTTTTTTAAATGAAGAATGATAAAGATAGAGAGAGAGATAATTTTCTTGAAATATGTGTTTTTAAATAATTTTTAAGCTAAATTTTTTATGTAATTTCAAACAGCTTTTAGTTTTTTTTTTAAGCTTTTTTATTTAACTTTAGCTTATAAGTAGCTTTTAGCTTAGAAATAAGAAGATCCAAACAGGCTCTAAAACTACATGTTTAAGGGATTCGAACTTCTTTTATTCGATATGATGCATATTAATCGCATACATTTATTGTTGATTTAAAACTTTATTTTTTGAACAAATTGTTTGATGATATGACACTATGAACACATAATCTAACTGAGTTGTATATAAAGAACCTTGGGATACATCACCTCAAAAGCTAGCTCAAAGGTGGGAGTGCCCAATGTCTTATAAACTCCACATTAGTTGCTCATACAACCAATGTGAGACTATATATCTCAACATGTCCCCTCATACAAGAGCCCATTGGGCTTGAAGAGTGGACAATGCAACAGGCCCAGCCTACCTGTGCTAAGAAATGCCACAAGAGAAAGTGGGGAGCGGTGAGGATCGAACCCAGAACACAAGGCTTTGATACCATAATAGAAGTGAATAAAACTGATTTCATTAAATGAATATCAAGGCTTACATCAGAATACATTTATATGGACCTCAAAATACATATGAAAGAAGAAAGGAAAATAACTGAATTGTAACTGTGCTAAGTTCCTAACAGAAAATCGTTAGCATCTATCTGTCATGATCAGTTCTTCTTATGCAATCGGTTGAGATATATAGTCTCACATTGGTTAAATGTGCAACTAATGTGGAGTTTATAAGGCATTGGGCACTTCCTCCCTTTGAGCTAGCTTTTGGAGTAGTGTATCCCAATGTTCTTCTGATGGTATCAGAGCTTGAGCCCTCACCGCCTCCCACTTTAAAGTGGAATTAAAATAAAATAAAAAAAGCACAAAAGCTAAACCAAAAATTAGGCATGTGCAATTCCACGCTTCTAGCCCACTCTTGCGTGACCCACTTTAAATGGAATTAAAATAAAATAAAAATCACAAAAGGTAAACAAAAAATTGGGCCTGTGCAATTCCACGTTTCTACCCTAAAGGGCTCTTGAGTGAGGGAGCGTATTGAGATTTGGTTAAATGTGCAACTAATGAGGCCTTTATAAGGCCTTGAGCACTCCCACCCTTTGAGCTAGCTTTTGGGGTGGTGTATCCCAAGATTCTTTATATTCAAATTATAATATGTTGGGTTAAAATCTGTTAAACTGGATGTCCGGACTAGTTATGTAAAATTGATTCAAAGTATCTTTTATATTCAAATAATCAATATACTATGTTATTTTGTTGTTTTCAAAATATTCAGTGTTATGAACTAACACAATGGACGTATTATACAGCCCAAATTACTTCTAAGTAAGGAATCTTCTATAAAATAAGAGTTTCACTTCGCATACATCTTTTTCATATACATCGTGAGCCCATGATCAAACATTAACCTTTGATTCACCAAGATCAACACATAATGTGATAAATCATGAGAACTTTACGTTTGAGCAGGGGCGGATACAGGGGAGGCTAGGGTGGGCGGCTGCCCCCCACCCCCCCAAAAGAAATTGCAAAAAATATTAATGCAGTTAAAGGCCAAATATAGTATTGTTGTTACTGTGGGGCGTTTGGTACGCGGCATTTGACCGGATTCCCGGGAAACTGAATTTTTCTAAATTTTAAATTTTCGAATATTATCGTAAACTGAATGTAAAAATCATATTTTTGAAAATTGAGATTCCCGGACAAATAAAAATTTCTCCTGTACCAAACGCCTTCTTTTGGAAGTTCTGGTTTGAGATCAAGTTGAAATCTACCTCCACTTCACGTAATGTGTGTGTTATGTGTAACTTTTTCTGTATTTTTTCTTATTTTCATATGTTATGTTTTGAATAATGAAAGCTTGGGCCTTTTTGCCACCTTTTTACTTTCTTTTCATTTGCATGGTTGTGTTTCTCTTTATGCTCTGGTTTCATATAGAGAAAATGAGATTACTCTAACTTAAAAGATTCACTTTTTGGGGCAACTTGGTTGCAGTCTTATATTTTATTTTATTTTTAAAAATGTAGTTAAAAATATTGTTTTAGTTAAGGCACTTTTTTTTTAATTATTGCTTTAAACTATTTTTTTTTGTCTATTGGAGCACCAATAATACATTTTTTCAATCTTTCAAATATTGTTAAATGTTAATATTTTGGTAGAAAATTACCTAAATGAGTTCCTACGAAGTCAATAAGAAAAAATCACTCCCCGTTAAACCCGACTAGCGAGTGTGGGGTGGAGGAAATTCTTGTACACAGCCTTACCCTTGCATAATTGCAAAGAGGCTATTTCCTGGTTTCAAACCAATGACCTTTCAGTCATGAAGGAACAGTTTTACCATTGCTCCAGTTCGCCTACGAGGTCAATAAGTAAAAAAAATATTGATATTATGCAAGACAAAAAATTAATTTTCGCCCCCTCCCCTCCAATCTTGGCTCCGCCACTGCATTCGAGGGGACGAAAATTTTGGTAACTTGAAGTCTTCTCACTATGTCATATATTTTATTTTATTGTTTCTAATAATATAAAATGAATAATCAAATTGTTCTTGCTAACAATATATTTGATGCTTTTAAGTTTGATGAGATACCAAAAGATTGCTATAGACAAAGAAAATTATTCAGGATATCAAATATTACTCAACTCAACAAAGTTAATGTAATTTTTTATAATAAAAATAATATTATTATTATTTATGACTTTAATTCTTATATATTAATTATTATTTATGATATCAACAAATATTTATATAGAATGAAGGGATAGTGATAAAAGTTCGCGATTCCTCTCTACCCTCCTTGTAATTACTTGTTTGCGGCCAATTGTAAGTCTTTCTTTAGAACATGTGATTATTTATCAATTAGTGTGGTAAAACTTTGCTAATCTGGAACCCGAATTTATTCTCATAAATGCCAACAATTTAATTTTTTTTTTGGTAGGTCAATAATATAATTAAATAACATAATTACTTTAAATTTCAAGTTTAATCAATTTAAATCAATCATAATCTTTTTTTGGTAAAAAATCAATCATAACAATTTAAATACCTGTCACATGTTAATTAAACTTGTTTACTTCATTATCACAATCAAATTAGACAAATAAAATGTTAATATATTTTTAGGGAAATCATTATCTCATTTTACATGAGATAACTCTTTTATGTTGTCTCACATCAAAAATTATGCCACCATTTTTCTTTTTTCTTTTTTTTAATAAATGGTGGACTCCACCACATTATGTGTCTATAGTAGGAGATAATTATCTCTAATAACATGAGAAAATAAAATCTCATATTTTTATATGCAAAGATTAATTCTTTTCAAAATAAATACAATCGGGGACTTGATCCGACTCCTGAGAAGAAAATTCCACATCAAGAGTTATATATTTATTAAAATAAATAAATCTTACTTATTAAGTGATATTTAGAAGGTTCTAATTCTTTTTTATGATGTAGAGCAGGCGAATAGTAGGGAAGACGTGGAATTGTTAAGGGAATAATTTAGTAACGGTAGTCAAATTACGGAATATGGGTCACGGCAAGAAAGTGGGAAACCATAACTTGTCTAAATTCAGAGAAAGGTAAGCAAAGATTTGCAAGGAATCATATATTCTCATTCGGGGCTTTAGATTTAAATTGTTTTGATTACAATTATTTATTGAAACATGTTCACACACGTTGGCGCAAAACAAGCGTCGAGTGTCCCACGGAAAGACATGCGGCGCCGTTGTATCAAAGTCCTCCTCTCAGTCTCACTCTTAAATCCCGCCTCAAATGGTGAGCACGGGATTTCGAATTTGGCGCTACCGACTCTTAACGGTCAAAAAGTGCTGATGTATCCAAGAAAATATAAAAGGCGGGACATACGAAAAATCGAAAAAAAAACTGCTGAGTTGTCAGCCACGTGGCACTACTCAAAGTCCCTCCTCGTACGTTGCCCCTTCGTATTGTAAAAAGACCTGCTAACAAAACCTAATGTACTTTGGACTCTGGTTGTGGTGTGCAGTGTCCCACGCTACTTTTTAGGATCCACAATATCGATGTCGATATAACAACGGGCCCACCACCGTATTCTTTGGCGGGAACCCTCACCCCGTCTCTTCCCGCCACAGCTTCAACCATCATGTCAACCACTTCCTTCGCTACTAACCGTGTCCCTAAACGGCCGTTTAGTTTGTATTGTTAATTCTTGTAGGCCGTAATAAACACTAACGGCGCAACGTCACTACGAGGAGACGGCTTATGGGGTTTGGACACTTGAAGCTGGCAATAGTGATCAAAGTGGCACGGTTTCACAATTTATCTCTCTAAATGTCATGTCAATAGTACAATTTTCTAATATGTCATGCGGATAAATTTGCTACAGTGTCTAACAAACTTGGTAGTCAATGATTTCGTTACACGTGGCACATTTTGACAGGAAAAGTTGATTGACACGTGTCCAAGTTTGCTACGACTGGTAGCGAACTTGGTAGCCAATAATTTCGTGACACGTGGCACACTTTTGCAGGAAAAACTTATTGGATGAAGTTCGCTACCAGGGGTAGCGAACTTGGTGTGCTAGGTGGCACAATCTCATTGCCCGATCAGAATTAATGTTATAATCACATTAAAAAAAAAGAAAAAGAAGAAAAATGACAATTTATTATAATTAATGTATTAATCACAATTAATGTATCAATCACCAATCACAATTAATATATCAATCACCATTCCCAATTAATTTTGATCACAATTAATGTACCAATCACAATTAATGTATCAATCGCAATTAATTTTGATCGTTACATTAATTGTTTGTGATATCATTATTACAAATTTGAACGATATTTGTGAGAGATAAAATATGTCAAATGAGGTGTCATTGGGTAGATCTCGAAAAGTTATATGAAATAAAATAAAAAATATTTGATCTGGATATCCGAATAAAAAATTATGGCTCTCCGAAATGATTGTGATTGGTACATTAATTGTGATTGGTACAATCAAAAGTTAATCCTATTTGTACGCTAATTGTGATTGACACATTAATTGTGATTGACACATTAATTGTGATTGCTAATTGACACATCAATTTTGATTGACATATTAATTAAATTGTCATTTTTTTTCATTTTCTGTGTTTTATTATGATTGATACATTAATTCTGATTGTGCCACGTGGCACCTAGTTAACTTGGACCTTCGGCGAACTTGGTGTATGTCAGACACGTGGCACACCTAGTTTGCTGCATGTGGCAACGAACTTCTCCAATGTGTCAATATTTATTGCAACATAGTTCGCTATTAGAAGTAGCGAACTTGTTGTCCACCATAAACATGCCATGTCAGAAAATGAAGTTTGTTGGACACTGTAGCGAACTTGCCCGCATGGCATATTAAAAAATAATATTGTTCACATGACATTTAAATAAAAAAGTTAGTGAACAGTGATATTTTGGTCAGTAAGTTGAAGGCAAAGACAATAGCCAACCAGGTAACATGTTTTCTGACGAGCCAGCATGTAACCCAAGACAACGTGACCCACCTTAGCCTCTCATAAAAAATAAGACTTAATTTTTATGTTTTATTCTTTATATATTTTTTATTTTTATTTTTTGCCCATAAATTATGTATTTTTGGTTGTTCTACGTTTTAATTTTAAGAAATTACTACTTTTTCTGAAAATATTTTATACTACAAATAAATCAAATACCATGTTTAAATCAATTAAGAAATATTTATTACAATTTACACCAATTACCATAAATATATGTTAAAATTAAAAAAAAAAAATCATACACAACACGAGTCACTTAATATGACGTTGACTTTAAAAACAAAAAATAATATCGGAAGATTCATCCATTGTCTGACACGTGACGAATTATTGTTTCACAGTTTTAAATCCAGTTTTATCTTTTCTTTAACGTAAAATATTTTCTTTCTAAATTGAGTACTATAACAATTTTTCATCTCTTTAAACCAGAACAAATCAAATATACACGTTTTAAATTTAAGTAAATTTTTTATATAAATATTTCTACATCAGGCTCAGAAAATTTAAAATTAATCATCAAATCAATTAGACTGCAGTTTTTTTTATACTAATCTGAATAAATACACTTCATTATACCTTACGCTTCAAATTTGTTATGATGCAATCAATCTTTTATGGGATAAAAAAGAGAATATACTTACTCAAAAAATAAAAATGGATATATCTCGATAAATAAATTTATCAAAAACTTAAAAAGGAAAAACATTACCAAACTTTTCAATTTAAAAATTGATAAGCTGAGAAAGAATCGATCCTATTATCATAAAACATCCCATGATCTTGTGTTATATATATATATATATATATATATATATATATATATATATATGGTAAAATCATTTCTGCAGCCGCTTTACGTACAACAATGATAAGTGTATAGTTATGATTTCTCATATTTAATGTTTTCATCTTTTGTATGGTTATGATTCTCTACATTTAATGTTTTCACTTATATATATGGTAAATATTTGATTGCTGCACGTACAGCAGCCGCACAAATATAAATCTCTATATATATATATATATATTATAATCAAGTATCTCAAAAGTATAACAATTTTTATCCCATTTATTTTAAAATATTTATCATTTAAGGTAATGCTCAAAGATTAAAAATTTATAAGATGAACTAAATTAAAAATAAATAAATAAAATCTTGGATTATAGATATTTAAAATCTTATAATATAATCAAAAACTTAATATGTAACCTTAATCTTTTTGATGTTTTAAAAAAATTCCAAAAAATTAATTTTCTCTTCACTATAGATAAATATATATTAAAAAAAGTTCTATATTTTAATTTGCGAAGCTAAATGCGACAATATTCCACTTAATGAATTAAAAACTTGAATATCATGTCGTATCATGTATATATGTTGACAATCAAAAAAGGAATTTTTTTTAATGAATTAAAAGGTTAAGATCTGATTTTTTTCGAAATTAATTGGTGGTAATTAAAATATTGAATAAGAGTTGGATCTTGGAATTGGAACAATTAATTACGGGTGATTGACAATCAGAATTTCAGCAAGGAGATATTTGTTTTAATGAGTAAAAAAGGAAAGATCTGAAACATTTGGAATGATAAAAATATTGAATTCAAAGGAGAGGGAGAGGGCAGGAATGGAAATAAAAATTGGTTTGCGTCATAACTAATAAGCAAAGGTGAAGATCAAAAATACAAGAAGTACAAGAAAAGCGGCGGAAAGGAGTGAGTGACAGAGGAAAAGCCGCTAGGAGCGGTGTTGTCACGTGCGGACGTTATGATTCGTGTCGGCAAATCCTCACCTTAATTACCAAGGTTACTCAATTCGAACCTTTTAAATGTTAAGTACTGAGCAAGCAAAGAAATATCTGGAGATCCCACGTGTCGTCCACGATGGATTGTGAACCACGCCGATTGGTGACAAATGACACGTGTCACCCGATTTGATTGACCTGTTAGCCAAGATTGAAGGGGCTAAAAAGATTTTAGAATTAATTCGCAATAGGAAGCTGGGTCAGCGGGGGAGGCGTTAGTCACGCCATGTGACAGATGACAGTGCTCTTTTAACGAAAACGCCCCCCTTCATTCTTTTTGCGTGCAGACGTGGTCTCTAATTAACATTTTAATAACGGCAATAAAATATCTTTAAATATTTGCTAAATATATATATGCGGTGAAACTTTGTGTAAGCCCAGGACAGGAAGTTATGTGTTGAGTTGAGAACAAGGCGTGCGTGCTTCTATATAGAGAGAGACACACTGTTTTGCTCACTCAGAGTCAGAACGCGCAGAGAACAAGGCGATTTGGTCGAAGGGGTTGGGCAAATAAAAAGCCACGGTTTCGGATCATAATCTATTATGATTTGATTTTGTGATAACTAGAAGATATCAATCACAATTCACAAGGACATACGCGTTGCTTTTGTGGGCTGTGTGTTTGCTGTTTTTTTTCTTCCCTGCTTCTTCGGGTAACTCGTCGACATCTTATTAAAAGCGGCTACCTATTCCCTGTGTGACCAACTGCAAAGGAAAGAGATGGAGTGGCCTTCTTGTACGGATGAATACGAAAAGCAGCTACCTATTCCCTGTGACCAATTGCAAAAGAAAGAGATGGAGTGGCCTGCTTGTACGGATGAATATGAAAAGCTCTTGATACGAATGAGCACTCCCAGGTTTGAAAATTATTCTTCCCCCAAGTTGTTTCTTGATTTCTTGCCATGATTACTTTTTTATTTCTTCTTTCTTGAACATATGTTTTCGGATTGGTCTTAAAAATTTCGGAACAAGAGTGTGGCTGCTTTTATGCAAATCTAACCCGATTTGTGTGTTCTTCAATGTTGTTTTTTTGTTGTTTTTCTTTACTCTTCAATCAAAACCTTTTAATTTGAAAACATTTTTTATTTTTAACTGTTTAGTTTTCTTTTCTCCGGTGAAAGTTCTTTTTGTTAGACAAGAATGCTTTTGGTCTCTAACCACCGACTTGAACTCCTTCCTTCATATCTTGGTTGTAATAATTCAGTTTCCTAATCTTTCAAAATAGCACCAAAACGTGCAAGAATAAATTTTCTACAAGTCACACCGACTTTTAAATTTGATTGGTCCACTGCCAATATTTTTACAATTTTTTGACTTTCTTTTCTAATCTCGCGTCTAGCCTTGTCTTTCCAGAACGTCTATGTTCCCGAATCCCGTGTATATGTATTCTTTGTATTTTATTTTTTTTGGTCTTCAATCCGACATTTAAACAGAAAATCGGGGAAAAAGTAATTTCATTGACTTTGATTTTTCTTTATGAAACAGGGTTGTCATTGACAATACCAGTTGCTCCATGGCGACTCTGGTCAAGGTAACCTCCCACGAACAATATTTCTAATATTGAATCAATAATCAATTCGTTCAAATAATGTTTTTTTTTTTTTTTATGTAAATAAAAAAATAAATAACAATAGTCTTTGTTTTATTGAAATTCACAGGTTGATAGTGCCAGAAGACATGGTATTCTATTGGATGCGGTGCAAGTGCTCACTGATCTTAACCTTTATATTAAGAAGGCATATATTTCTTCTGATGGCAGGTGGTTCATGGATGGTAAGCTAATCTCCATTCCCCTGAAATTTCAGTAATTACTTAGATTCTGGGTTAATCTGCCAAAATAGTCAATGCCTCAAGCTCTTATCTTTGGCTATTCAATGGACAGTTTTCCACGTCACCGATCAAAACGGAAACAAGCTAACAGATGAGAGCGATATAAAACATATTGAACAGGTATTTAATTGTCGCCTTACAAGTTCCAATTTAGTTGCAATGTTGCTTGTTAGAATTTATTTACCATATCTTGTATTTATTGTTAATCTGACTCAATTTTTTCTTGAATATTACGACAGTCACTTGGGAGCATTCATAATGGAAGAAGCAATCACTCAAATGGTCTTACTGCACTGGAATTGACTGGAACAGACCGTGTCGGTCTTCTATCGGAAGTGTTTGCTGTATTGGCTGATCTTCAATGCGATGTGGTTGAGGCTAGGGTTTGGACTCACAATGGTCGCATTGCCTCCCTAATCTATGTCAAAGATTACAATTCTGGGTCCACTATTGAGGACTCTCAGATAATTAATAAGATTGAAGTGCGTTTAAGAAATGTTTTAGAGGGAGACAATGACATTAGAAGTGCAAAAACTTCCGTCTCTATGGCTGTCATGCACACTGAAAGAAGGCTACATCAAATGATGTTCGCTGACCGAGATTATGAGAGGACTCCCATTTTCAAGTTTACTTCTGATAACCCAGTAGTGACTGTCCAGAATTGGGCACAAAGGGGTTATTCAGTTGTGAATGTTCAATGCAAGGATCGAAGCAAGCTATTGTTCGATGTTGTCTGCAACTTGACAGACATGGAATATGTTGTGTTTCATGCAACTATTAACACGAATAGTGACCAAGCATCCCTGGTAATTATGCAACTTCCTTTCCTTTCAATGGAACGTATTATTTTTTATTTTATTTTTACTTGCTCAATTGCTTGGTTTATGTTAATGTTGTTCAAATTGTCATCTCAGGAGTTTTACATAAAACATAAGGATGGCACTCCAATTAATTCAGAACCAGAGCGTCAACGCGTAATTCAATGCTTAAAAGCTGCTGTGAAGAGAAGGGCATCTGAGGTATAGGCTTTTTTCCTCCCACTATTATTTGTTAAATCGTTATAACTTTTGGATATGATGTGGCTAAGACTCTAATTAATTTTTACTTGTTTGATTATAGGGTGTTCAGCTAGAGTTATGCACGGAAGACAAGCAGGGGCTTCTAGCAGAAGTAATGAGAACTTTCCGAGAGAATGGTTTGAATGTGATCAGGGCTGATATATACACCACAGGGGACATGGCAACAAATATGTTTTATGTAACAGATGTGATTGGAAACCCAGCTGATCCAAAAATCATTGAATCTGTTAGGCAGAAAATTGGGCTTGCCGATTTAGAAGTGAAGGAGTTGCCATTGATGGATCAACAAAAGGCAGAGAAAGAGGATCAAGACGTTGGAGTTGGCGGGGCAGTGTTGTTGTCTATTGGGAGCCTTGTGAGAAGGAATCTTTTCAATTTGGGACTCATCAGATCCTGTTCTTAAAGCAGAGGACATAGTGTAGAGAGGCAAATTTAGGATTGTGGGTGGTCGTTGCATCTTTTTTAGCATAATATTCTTTGCTTCGGGTTTGGGCTTTGTGTACATAAAAAGTTGAAGGGTGGAATTTGGTTATAGTAGTAGTTCTAGTTGGTTTGGTAGGTGGAAACGGATAGGTATTTGTACAGCTGGAGGAGATTGGGGTGCCCCGCCATTTTAAATGCTCTATGTGAGGAAAAAAAGGATTTGAATTATGATGGATTGGTTATTGCAGAAGATGCTGTTCACATCTGTGGGAAGGTTGTGAGATATGAAATACAGAACTGGATTGTTGGTGGCAGATAGACGAGCTTAGTTAGACACAACAAAATGGGTTCTTTGTTAATTTACCATTTAGCTCGTGTCCATACTAAACTTTTTTAAATCGTTGCTGATATTAGTTTTAGTGGCCGACTCCAATTTTTAAATTGAACTCTCTTTCTCTCGCATTTTAACTCTTTTTTGGGCTCCACGTTTGCCATTACTAGATGTTTGTTGATCATAAAAGTTGGTCCGTAACGTGATTTTTTTTTAGTACATACTTTATAACGTGATTTGTCCATAACATTATAAGACAATTTTAGGAAGTTCTCACTGAAAAACTTGATGACACACAACTCTTTGGAAATGGTCCACACCACAGCATTAGCATATAGATGATAGATTAGGAAATAGACTAGCATCGTAGGAGTGAGGAGTGGGCAATTAGTGGTTAGTTAAAAATCAAATAAAACGATGTGGAAAAGGAGGAGAAGTCAATGAACTAACGTGGCAGAAAATGCCGCAGTTATTGCCGCTAACTGTAACTGAGCTGGATTTTGTCTGTGTTTGTACCGTTTTCACATGCATTCTCTCTTTCTTGTCTTTCTTGTCATACTGGGGGAAGAGGCAACTCACTCAGTCTTCTTCTATTAAATGTCACTTTCAAATGTTTTTTTTTTTTAATAGAATTCAAATATGTTTTTTTGAGATGACTTTATAAATATTTTTTTCTTCAGATCTTGGAGTTGGAAGTGATCATACAATAATAACTTAATAGGAAAAGTGTGTATCATTTTAAAAGATGTAAAGTTGTGTCATTTTAAGTAAGAGAAAGAGATAGATAAAGGAGAAGAGAGAGTGGACAGAAAAATATAAAGGTGTATAAAGGTGTGGGCAGTGGCGGACCCAGGAAAATTTCTCTATGTCCGCACATTTAGTGGCGGGGATTCGGGGCCAGCGCCCCCGAATTTTTTTTTGTAAAAAAAGTTTAAATTAACGCTTGAACCCACTCATAATCTAGTTGTTTCCATAACAAAGGAAGAAGAAATCATGGGAATGGGTACGTGACAAGGGAGGAAGAATAAGTTTTCTCTCTAATCAATTTGTATTTCTACGTTGTTTTAATCACTTCTGTACGTTGCTAACTAATATAAGAATAAATATCATTTTTGGTCTCTAACAAAAAATTCGGTCCCCACTTTAGTCCATTATAAAAAAAAAGTCACCTGGTCCCTATGAGATTTAAAGTGGATCTATTTTAGTCTTTTTGAGACTAATGTAGGTCTTTTTTGAATTTGTGAGGGACTACAATTTTAATTAAATTTATCCACTTTGAATTTTTTAGAGACCTCTTCGAGACTAATTTTTGATAAGGGACTAAAATGGAGACCATATTTTTTGTTAGGGACTTAAAATGATATTTATTCCTACTATAAATATTGAACCAAGAGACAAATAATAACCTACATAACTAAAAAAAAAAATTAAAATCCAAAATCACATCCCACCGTGGGTCCGCCAGTGGGTGTGGGTCTCATCTCTTTGTGAGAGTGAAAGAATATAAATTGTGTCATTTAAAAGAACAAACACTATTCCCTAAGTTAATAATAGAAAAGTAACCCTTCTCTACCTCCTTATTTGATAATATCTTCTTTAATAACAAGATATGAATGTGGGATTACTATAACCTGCTCAACTTATTAAATGATGGTAGTTTAGTGGTGTAAGGGAATTGAGCATCGAAAGTATGTGTTCGATTATCTAGTATCGTTTTTTGAAAGAGTTTAAAATTTTAATTCTAGAACGCACCTAAAATCGAATTAGTCGATAAACGATGAACCAATTGAAATATCTCAAAAAAAAAAAGAACCGGCTCAAATCAAGGCCATAAGAATCTTTAGTAAATCAAAATGGTTTGAAATTTTTCTTTTAGGGGGCGTTTGGTACGAGAGATATTTTTTTATCAGGAAAAAAAAAATTCTGAGAATATGGTGGAAAATTATTTAGCCCAAGAAAGTAATGAAAAGTTGTTGGGTAGGCCAAAATTTTACTGGGAAATTTTGGTTAATTTTACTGATTGATTGTAAAATATTGAAAGGAATGTTAACATAAATTATCAATTTACCCTTTATTTTAACATCATTCCAAACAGAATGAACTTGAAAGACAAAGTAATAGTGGAACAGTTCAAAGATTATGTACCTCAAAAGAAGCACCAAAGTCTCTTTTTCACAAATCGGAAGCTCCAAGATGCTCCCATAGTAGTGGGATTCCTGATAAATGTCAAAGGGCACATCTACCAGCTCTCAATACCCGGACACGCACAATTTATGAAAAAGGGTGTGTCGGACACGTGTCCGACACGGACACGCTCCGACACGTTCCGACACGCGGTCAACATTTTAGGACACGTGGTCAACTCTCTGACACGCTCCGACACGCAGTCAACTTTTTCGGACACGTGGACAACGATCAGACACGTTTTTTTTTTTTAGTCTTAATTTTATTTTATTAAATAAAAAAAAATCATTTATAAATCAATTTTTTTCTGTTATGAAATTTGACATGAAAAATTAACAAGGTACGGAAAAAAAAATTGTTTATATTTATGTTATGAAATTTGAATATTTGATTGGTTATATGACTTATTATGGACTGTTATATCTATTAAATATAAATTATATTATATATATTAAAAATATTATTTAATATCAAAACGTGTCCCAACGTGTCGAAATATGCTACTTTTTAGAATTAACGTGTCGGCGTGTCGGGTCGTGTCCTGTGTCAGTGTCCGTGCATCATAATCTACCAGTTTACAAATAAACATTTTCGGACAAAACCAAGTCACAAATCAAAGACGTGGAGATGTGCAGACGAAGACGATGCAACTTTCTCTCCATGATGTGTTTCTCTGCGATGTCTACTTACACATTTGCAGATATATTACAAGGGGGCATTTTTGTTGGAAATCGACAACACACAAATCGAAAACGGAAAAGAAAAAGAGAGAGAGAATAGACACAAAGATTTACTCTGGTTCACCCAATTAAGGCTACGTCCAGCTTGTCTGTACTATATTCTCCTCACCGCCACTCATTACAAGTCACTCGATTTACAAGAAAAATATAAATAGGATTAGAAAACCCTAACAACAGCTATTCATGGGCCCAATCCCAAACTGCTAAGAAAATTACAATAAAACAGAGGCCCACAATAGTACCTAGCCTCGACGGGCCTGGGGGCGCTGCCCCCCGGACCCCCTCCCGCTCACCAGTTGCCTTTCTGCTGACCCCGATAATTAGGGCCCTCATCAGCATGCGAAGTATGAGCCATACCCAATATTCTCCCACTTGGTGAATGCTTCACATGTTTCTTCAATCCCAATGCAGTTGTACACCATTCAAACTTCTCTGAAGTCACTGCCTTGGTCAGAAAATCAACATTGTTGACCTTTGTGTTAACCTTCTCCTGCAATACAACCTTGTCTTCAATCTTCTCTCTGATGAAGTGGTACTGTATGGCGATATGCTTGGTCCTCGCATGCAAACCTAGGTTCTTAGCCAAGAAAATGGCGCTCTGACTGTCACACAAACGATCATCTCTCCTTGTGCAAAGCCAAGCTCTTTGCACAACCTTCGTAACCAAATAGCTTCCTTAACAGCATGTGTCAAGGCCATGTACTCAGCCTTTGTAGTAGATAAAGCAACAGTGCTCTGCCTCTTACTCATCCAACTGATAGCTCCACCGAATGATGAAACAACATATCCACTTGTAGACCTTCTACTATCAATGTCACCTCCCCAATCATCATCCACAAAGCATCTCAGTTCTAACAATGTCTGTCCCCTTGAGCCCTTCACGCCTTCATAGCATAACCCAAGGTCAGACGTACCACGAAGATAGCGGAACACTCGCTTCACATCCGACCAATGCTCATTTCCTGGCTTGGACATATACCTGCTCAATACTCCCACTGCTTGAGCAATATCAGGTCGAGTACAAATCATGGCATACATCAGACGCCATCTCCTCTCTTTCTTCTTCAGTCTTGGGACATTGGTCAGCCGATAACTTAGAACCAGTAGACATGGGAGTCAACACAGGCTTGCAGTTAGTCATCTTGAATTTCTTCAGAACATTTTCTATATACTTCCACTGACTTAACCATATTCTTCCTTTGTCACGCTCCCTCTTAATCTGCATACCCAAGATCACATTTGCAGCGCCTAGGTCTTTCATTTCAAACTGCTTTGCTAGCAGTCCTTTAACAATGCTGATCATCTTCAAACTGTTTCCAACGAGTAACATGTCGTCAACATACAAAGTTAGAATAACAAAGTCACCTTCTAACCTTTTCACATAAACACAGTGATCAACATCACAGCGGTCAAAGCCAAGCTTCACCGCATAAGTGTCGAACTTCATGTACCACATCCTTGGGGACTGCTTCAGGCCATACAAAGATTTATTCAGCTTGCAGACTAGCTCCTTTTTGCCTTTTGCAATGAACCCCTCTGGTTGCTTCATGAAAATAACCTCATCCAAATCACCATGAAGGAAAGCCGTCTTCACATCCAGCTGCTCCACCTCTAGGTCATATGCAGCTGCTACAGACAAAACCAGTCAAATGGAATTTAACTTTGCAACAGGTGAAAATACCTCACCATAATCAACCCCTTTTGTCTGTGAATATCCCTTTGCAACCAATCGAGCCTTGTAGCGCTCAATCCCCCCATTGTCA